AAGAAGGAATACCCAAAAGCCCTTGCAGCCTACAGAGCTAGTTTGGTGTCAAAGGTGAGCTTACTGCCGACTTAAATTCAACATGTAGGAGCCGTTTTCAATGCAGATTTATTTTTATTTTCCAATTGTCTTATTAAAGGCTTTTAAAAATAAGTAACACTCAATGCTTGAGGTGTGAAATGGGGTTGCTGCTCCTCCTCCTAAAATTACCTGCAAATGCAGAATTAAACTTGTGGGAAAAGAAGGGCTTAAAAAACTTTAAAAAAGTTAAGAACTTTTTTTAAAAGAACTATATGATTGGTCCAACAGGTTTAGTTCCTTCAACAAATAAGATCAAGGGAGTGTCATGTAAAACCACTGCAGCATCACAGAATGTACTGTATTTTTCAGAATAGAAGACACACTGGAGTATAAGATGCACCAAGGTTTTGAAGAGGCAAATTAAAAAAAAAAGTTTTTGCACTCTGCAAACTTCCTAAAAACGGCCCGTTTTCCGCAAAAACAGCCCCCCCCCTTTTTAAAGGGCATGAATAGACCTTAGGCTTGTAGAGTGTTCCTGGGAGGGCGGGGAGGGGGCAAAATTGAGCAAAAAAGGGCCCATTAAAAAAAGGCCCATATATAAGCCTAAGCGCTATTTCTATTCTCTTTTTGGCTCATAGGCTGCTGCCGAGTCAGCGGAGGCGCAGACGATCCGGTCCGTCCAGCAGACTCTGGCTTCCACGAATTTGTCTTCTTCCTTGCTTCTGAACAGCCCTCTTTCGCAACACGCTACCGTCGTCACCTCCCCACAGACTCTCCAGCAGCCCCTCCCTAGGGCCATTGCCCCTAAGCCTTTAACCATGCGGCTGCCCGGGAACCCCACCGTCTCCTCCGGCGGCCCCACAAACATTTCCCCCTCGCTGATCAGCTCCATGACGACCAGCATGGCCCCCACGCCGTCCTCGGCTCCCTCTCAAGTCAGCCCTTCCTTGCAGAGCCAGCAGCAGCACCAGCACCAGCTGCAGCATCTCCAGCAGCTGCAGCTGCAGCAGCAGCAAATGCAGCAGCAGCAGCTGCACCAGCAGCAGCTGCACCAGCAGATCCAGCAGCAGATGCAGCAGCAGCATTTCCAGCACCACATGCAGCAGCAGCTACAGCACCTCCAGCTCCAGCAGTTTCAACAGATGCAGATGCAACAGATGCAGCAGCAGCAGCAGCAGCACCCGCCGCAGCCCTCCCCCCAGCAACTTTCCCCGGCTTCCTCGCAGATGACCTCGCCGATAGCGGCCATCGGCAGCCCGCCCCCCGCCAGCCAGCCGCACCCGTCCCAAATACAAGGCCAGACGCAGACTCAGCTCTTATCGCAGGCGGGTATTTTCTGAAGAGCCGCCAAGTCGGCCTGGGCTTTGCATCCTGGCGGGAGCAGCGCTGCGGATCGGGCAGAAACGGCGCAGGGCTGGGGAAGAGTTTATGCAGGAATGCATAACGCATAAAAGAGACTTTAAGCTGTCTATTAGATAGGCAATAAAAGAACTACAGTGTAGCTGGGTATAATCCTTTAGCTGAATTATAAATATTTGTTTTCCAGGGTTCCCGTCCCTTTTCCCTTCCTCCTCCTCCCTTCTTCCCCCCCCCCTTCCACTCCTCCTTCCCCTTCCCTCTTCCTTCTTTTCCTCCTTCCCTTCCCTTCTTTCCCTCCTTCTATTCCGCCTTCCTCTCCTCCCTTCTCTTCTTTCCCCCCTTCCACTCCTCCTTCCCCTTCCCTCTTCCTTCTTTTCCTCCTTCCCTTCCCTTCTTTCCCTCCTTCNACTGGAGTATAAGATGCACCAAGGTTTTGAAGAGGCAAATTAAAAAAAAAAGTTTTTGCACTCTGCAAACTTCCTAAAAACGGCCCGTTTTCCGCGAAAACAGCCCCCCCCCTTTTTTTTAAAGGGCATGAATAGACCTTAGGAGGCTTGTAGAGTGTTCCTGGGAGGGCGGGGAGGGGGCAAAATTGAGCAAAAAAGGGTCCATTTTTTGCTCATTTCTGCCCTCCCCAGCCCCCAGGAGCTCTCTGAAAGCTTCCTACAAGCTATGCATGGCCATTTTGGTGAAGGGGGCGGGGTTTCAGGAGGCCCAAAAATGCTGTATTCAGTGTATAAGACGCACCCAGATTTTCAGCCTCTTTTTTGAGGGAAAACGATGCGTCTTATACTCCGAAAAATACAGTACTTTTTTTTCCCTTCTAACAATCGGGATGCATTGCGGTAGAGGCAGGGCAGCTGAATGGAGCTGAGAGTTTACTGTCTGGATACCCTTTCTGATGCCTACACGGTGTTCACAGCAGACAATTACTCATTGTGCCGAGAGAGAGAAATATCTGCCACTACCTAGGATCGAACTCACAGCTGCCTGATTGTGAGGCGAGTGCTCTACCTCTAGGCCACCACGGTGCTCCATCACAGAACGTGATAAGATGAAATACAGTAGTATTGAGACCAAGGTTGCCTACACCAGAGTTCCCCAAGCTTTCTGGGTTAGCGGCCCAGAGTGGTGGGGGAAGAGGGGAGTGGAAAGATGGGATGGTTTGGATGGGAGGGGCAGGTGCAAGCACCTGTTGCTCGCACAAGTGGGGCTGCAAGTGCCTGCAACATTCGCACGAGTGGGGCCGTGAGCCCCCGTGATACTCGTGTGAGTGGGGCTATATGCGTGCGGACACATCAGCCAGCCACTCATGCGGCCCTGTTGTGAATAGGCTGTGGTCCAGTAGTCGGCTATGGCCCCCAGGTTGGGGACCCTGGCTTACACTACATAAATAACTTTATGTAAACAACATAAAGATGAGTAGACTTATTGTTGCATGAGCCATGGTGGCGCAGTGGTTAGAGTGCGGTACTGCAGGCTACTTCTGCTGACTGTCAGCTGCCTGCAGTTTGGCAGTTCGAATCTCACCAGGCTCCAAGTTGACTCAGCCTTCCATCCTTCCGAGGTGGGTAAAATGAGGAACCAGATTGTTGGGGCCAAGATGTTGACTTTGTAAACCGCTTAGAGAGGGCTGTAAAGCACTATGAAGCGGTATATAAGTCTAAGCGCTATAAGTAAGTAAGTAAGTAAGTAAGGAAGGAAGGAAGGAAGGAAGGAAGGAAGGAGCTGTGGTGGTGCAGTGGTTAGAGTGCAGTACTGCAGGCTACTTCTGCTGACTGCCAGCTGCCTGCAATTTGGCAGTTCGAATCTCACCAGGCTCCAAGTTGACTCATCCTTCCATCCTTCCGAGGTGGGTCAAATGAGGAGCCAGATTGTTGGGGCCAAGATGTAAACCGCTTAGAAAGGGTGGTAAAGCATTATGGAGTGGTATATAAGTCTAAGCGCTATTTCTATTCTCTTTTTGGCTCATAGGCTGCTGCCGAGTCAGCGGAGGCGCAGACGATCCGGTCCGTCCAGCAGACTCTGGCTTCCACGAATTTGTCTTCTTCCTTGCTTCTGAACAGCCCTCTTTCGCAACACGCTACCGTCGTCACCTCCCCACAGACTCTCCAGCAGCCCCTCCCTAGGGCCATTGCCCCTAAGCCTTTAACCATGCGGCTGCCCGGGAACCCCACCGTCTCCTCCGGCGGCCCCACAAACATTTCCCCCTCGCTGATCAGCTCCATGACGACCAGCATGGCCCCCACGCCGTCCTCGGCTCCCTCTCAAGTCAGCCCTTCCTTGCAGAGCCAGCAGCAGCACCAGCACCAGCTGCAGCATCTCCAGCAGCTGCAGCTGCAGCAGCAGCAAATGCAGCAGCAGCAGCTGCACCAGCAGCAGCTGCACCAGCAGATCCAGCAGCAGATGCAGCAGCAGCATTTCCAGCACCACATGCAGCAGCAGCTACAGCACCTCCAGCTCCAGCAGTTTCAACAGATGCAGATGCAACAGATGCAGCAGCAGCAGCAGCAGCACCCGCCGCAGCCCTCCCCCCAGCAACTTTCCCCGGCTTCCTCGCAGATGACCTCGCCGATAGCGGCCATCGGCAGCCCGCCCCCCGCCAGCCAGCCGCACCCGTCCCAAATACAAGGCCAGACGCAGACTCAGCTCTTATCGCAGGCGGGTATTTTCTGAAGAGCCGCCAAGTCGGCCTGGGCTTTGCATCCTGGCGGGAGCAGCGCTGCGGATCGGGCAGAAACGGCGCAGGGCTGGGGAAGAGTTTATGCAGGAATGCATAACGCATAAAAGAGACTTTAAGCTGTCTATTAGATAGGCAATAAAAGAACTACAGTGTAGCTGGGTATAATCCTTTAGCTGAATTATAAATATTTGTTTTCCAGGGTTCCCGTCCCTTTTCCCTTCCTCCTCCTCCCTTCTTCCCCCCCCCCTTCCACTCCTCCTTCCCCTTCCCTCTTCCTTCTTTTCCTCCTTCCCTTCCCTTCTTTCCCTCCTTCTATTCCGCCTTCCTCTCCTCCCTTCACTTCTTTCCCCCCTTCCATTCCTCCTTCCCCCTCCCTCTTCCTTCTTTTCCTCCTTCCCTTCCCTTCTTTCCCTCCTTCTATTCCGCCTTCCTCTCCTCCCTTCACTTCTTTCCCCCCTTCCACTCCTCCTTCCCCTTCCCTCTTCCTTCTTTTCCTCCTTCCCTTCCCTTCTTTCCCTCCTTCTATTCCTCCTTCCTCTCCTCCCTTCACTTCTTTCCC